AAGACCTGTCTCCGTCACCCTCGCTGGATCTATCCCGTCAGAGTCCAGACTTGCCCGAATCTGAGTGATTTTGTCATACAGATACTGAACAAAATCCTCGGCTTTTCCCTCCAAGGGGTCCTCCCGCGCTTCCTGATGGAGCAGGGAGCGGGTCACCCTAAACAGGGTGGCCGGGCGATTATCTGATGACGCAATAAGAGCAGCAAAATGAGTACATTTTGCTGCTTTTATCGCCACTAGGTAACTCCTAATATGGGATCTTACCAGTGTTCGGTCAGATTCAGAAAGACTAGCCTTCCAACAGCTCTCTAGGCGTCTTTTCCGGCGCTTCATCTCCCTCAGCTCCTCGGTGAACCAAGGAGCCAGGCGAGATCGGCGCCGGGTCAGAGGCCGCAAAGGCACGACTCGATCCAGGGCTCCAGCAGCCGCCCTATCCCAGGCGGCCACTAGGTCCCCAGATGAGGCGTGAGCCAGAACCTCCGGGATTGGCCCAAGCTCCCTCTGGAACCTATCAGGTTCCATCAGGCGCCTGGGGTGGTACCATCTTACCGGTTCCGCCTCCCTGCAGCGGGGTGCCGCGGTTCGAAGGTCAAGGCGAAGGAGCGAGTGATCTGACCATGACAAGGGCTCGATGACTATATCCCCTATCTCAAGATCACTCAACCACTGTCCAGAGACAAAAACCAAGTCCAGTGTGTTTCCCCCAATGTGCGTAGGGCCATGAATTAGTTGGGTCAGGTCCATGGCCATCATGGAAGCCATGAACTCTCGAGCCACCTCAGACGCCTCACCCACGGATGGCAGGTTGAAATCCCCCATGACCATAAGTCTGGGGGTATCAACCGCCACTGCGGCAATAACGTTGAGTAGCTCAGGCAGGGCTGCCGCCACGTGGCAGGGAGCCAGGTACGTGATCAGCAAACCCCTCTGAACCCCATGGCCCCACTTCACAAAGAGGGACTCACAGCCAGCTGTCTGAGGTACAGTGGTCTCCCTCGGCCTAAGGCCTTCTCTAATAATAACCGCTACTCCCCTGCCCCTCCCCTGTGGCCTTGGCTGATGGAATGCGTGGAAACCTGGTGGGCACATTTCTACCAGAAGGACCCCTCCCTCTGGGCCCAACCAGGTCTCCGTAATACCCGCCAGGTCCGCTCCCCCCTCGTAAACAAGATCACAGATGAGGGGGGCTTTATTTACTACAGACCTGGCGTTGCACAACATCAGGCGAAGGCCCGGGCCCTGAAGGTCTGTACTACCTGGAGCACGGGTGGAGCTTTGGGGGCCGGAGCACTCTACCGCTTGAAGACAGCGGGCGCGTGCTCCCTTAACATGATATGGCCCCCTGCTCCCGCCATATCTACCTCTCCCACACACAGTACCGATGGTAGAAACACAATCTGGACCAGCTCGACCCCCTCCGGATTCCCCACCACCCCCGCCGGACGTCCTGGCCAAGCCCGACTCTCCCCCTAGTGGGTTATCCCCCAAACCCACAACCCTAATTTCAATCCCACCCCCCTCCCCCCTCCCCGAACCCCTTAAAAGTTTAGACAAGGACAATTTTAAAAAACCCCGCAGCCCCCTCTTCGCGGCATGAATAATGGTCTACTATGCTCAGAATATAGCAGGCACCTCCTATGCTAGGTTTCTTGGGTCCAATTAGGTCTACAAACACTACCTATAATGGATTTTTAGTTTTAAAACCATTAACACGGTTTGCTGGTGTAACCCTACTTTTCTGCTGACTACAGGCATTGCAATTTAGATATTTACTACATGCTTGTAGTTTTATCCCTTCAGATAACTCAACTGTTTTCTTTAACATCCTGAAATTTAAATGCCCAAGTCTCTGGTGTAACAGATGAATACATTCATCATGTGGTTTAACATTCTTATAAACAGACTTAGACTTACCCACCAATACTGGGTTATCCCTTAAAACAAATAAATCATTTTCTAAACTTGCAGTAAAAACTTTGCCATCTTTCTCAATAAAACACTTATCATTTTTAAATGTTACTGTAAACCCAAATTTCAATAATGATTTAACAGATAATAAATTGAATCTTAACCCAGGAATATATAACATAGGCAATGGTTCATTGCTAAATGACCAACGAGTAACACCCTCTCCAGCTACCTTAACCTTCCAGCCATTTGCTAGTTTAACATGCTGGTTACTCTTCTCCATTTTAACAAAAAAATTTCTTTTTCTAGAAATAGATTGAGAAGCACCACTGTCAACAACCCAACAATCCTGGTTAACATCAGTAGTTGAACTGGATATAGCTAAATTACAACCCTTCTTGGGTCTAGTATTGTCCCTAACAGATATTTTCTTATTCTTACAATACTTAGCTATATGCCCTTTAGCCCCACAAGCAAAACAACATTTTACAAAATAGGCAGTTGAATACATTTTTCCTTCTTTTGGTTGTTGCAGTCTCAACTGATCCCTTTCTTGTCTTCTTTTGGATTCTTCCAATAACCTACCAGTTATGACAGCCAATGTCAGTTCATCTCTGGACAAAACCTCTAATGAAGAAACATAGTTGTCATAACTGTCGTTCAAAGAAGAAAGAATTATATAAACTTGCTGTAGTTCTGAGAAAACAAGTTCCTTTTCATGCAGCTCCTGGAAAATTCTGGTCATGGATTCCAAATGATCCATCATATCTCCACCTTTAAGAAGATGTTGTTTAAATAATCTCCTTGTGAGATAAATATGAGCACCCACAGAGACACGAACATATAGTCTCTTCAACTTGGTCCAACACCTAGCAGCAGATCCTTCGCCACGAATATGGACAAGCTGCTGGTCACCCAGTGTTAGTCCAATAATGCAAAGAGCTCGTTCATTGTCTCTGTTAAACTTGGTTATTTTCTTCTCATCTTCCTCATCAGCAGGATTCCATGCTGTTACATCTGGTGGATTATTAACTATGTCCCACAGTCCTTCTCTATGCAGAAGTAGATTACATTTTGTAGACCAGGATACATAGTTTGTTCCATCCAGCCGGGTTATCATGGAAAAATTTGCTGCTTGTTCTAGTGCCATCTTCACTTGGATTGTTTATCACAAACACAGTTTGTACCATTCACATTAACTCTCAGTTTAGCTTTTAACAATCCTAGTTAGTTCTGGTTGGCTCTGGGCCCATAACCAATGTTAAGGATATTGGTGTTGTGTTACCAACCAGCAGAGTAAATGCACAAGGAAACGTTGCTGAGAGCAATGAATAAGAGATATGCAAACTGGTTTATCAAAAGCTTACTTTATAGTAGAAAAACAGTCTCATAGTCTTTAAACAAATTCCAAGTCTTTGCCAATTAAATCAGTCCAGTAATTACAGATATCTTCTAACCAAACAAACATTAGTTGGTTAGAATAACAAACTCACTCTGGTTCACAAACCACGATGGTAGCAGATCCATCAAACGATGATTAGCAGATAGCAACGCCTCTCAATAGTAGCATATCATATTCTGGTAGCATATCATATCAGCTTCATCATCAAACTGAATACGTTACAATACCTTGCTTAAATACTCTCACAACTAGTCATTACCTAATTACAGCATGACTCAGCATTATAATGAATCAGCAAGAAAACCTTAAAGTAACATAATACATTTACAGATTAAAGTTACAGTACACATATATTGCCTGGACAACTTAGTTAGGCTCAAACCATATCCTAACAGTTCTGCAATTTATCCTTTTATAGACCTCAGGTTATAATTGCCTTCCAAAAACAAAACCTTCCAAGCTATCCAAATCTGAGAGGATGGGAAAACATAGAACATCACTGTCTCTGTAGATCGTTCTCTAGCTTAAATGTCAAAGTGGTGAAGTTCGCCAACATGTACATAGAAAGAATAACAGGCAAACATAATTGATGTTTGCCTGATATTATGAATTATGTCAACATAACCTTGTTGATTTTTATTTGGTGCATAAATTACTGTAAGTAGCATTTGTTTCTGTTCTATCTCCAATTCCACCATCAAAATTCTACCTTTGTCATCTGCATATCTTAGATTAGATTTGATTTTTTCCTTTACATATATGGCAATACCCCCTTTCTTTTTATCTGCTAAAGTTCTGTATAATGTTCCCAATTTTCTATTTTGTAATAATTTTCTATATTCTTTTTGTATATGAACCTTTTGGAGGCATATCACTTCAACCTTTCCAAGCTATCCAAATCTCCAGGGGACAGGGCAACATAGAACATCACTGTCTCTGTTCATTGTTCTCTAGTTTAAACGTTGAAGTGAGGAAGTAACCCAACATGTACATATAAAGAATATCAGGCAAACATAAAGATTTATTAAAGCTTTCTCTTCATGAGCTGGTGCTTATCATTAAGCTCAGGTCTCATCACAATGATAAAACACTTGGGAAAAAAGATGCACACCAATATGCCAGCACTGGAGGAGACCATGGAGAAGATCTCCACAGCCAACGTATATTTTCCCCGTGTGCTTAGATAGGTTGGAATAAAACACAACCAAACACTGCAGAAGACCAACATGCTGAAGGTGATGAATTTGGCTTCATTGAAACTGTCAGGTAAATTCCTAGCTAGAAAAGCAGCAGAGAAGCTAAGCAGAGCAAGAAAACCCATAAAGCCCAAAACACAGTAGAACATGACCAAGTCTTCATTGCACTCCAGGATAAGTTCTTCAGGTATTGAATGTGCATCAAAATCTGGATATGGTGGGCATGTTATCAGCCACACAGCACAAACACATATTTGAATAAGGGAGCAGGATAGAAGAATGAAACTGACCATCCTTCCCCCAACCCATTTCCTCAATCTGGAACCGGGTTTGGTGGCCATGAATGCTAGAACCACAACAAAGGTTTTGGCCAAGACACAAGAAACCGCCACAGAAAAGATGAGCCCAAAAGCTGGTTGTCGAAAGAGACACACAATCGTATTGGGCCTCCCAACAAATAGAAAGACACAAAGGAAAGAGAGGAGAAGAGAAACTAGGAGTGTATAAGTGAGATTCCGGTTGTTGGCTTTGACGATGGGAGTGTCTTTGTGTTTCATGAAGATTGTTATTACCAAAGCTGTCATTAACGAAAAGCAAAGAGAAAGAACAGTCAGACTGATCCCCAAGGGTTCTTCATAGGACAAAAAGGTGATCCGCTTTGGAATGCACATATTTTTCCCGGGATTTGGGTATTGATCTTCTGGACATGGAGAGCAGTCATCTATGTCTGAAAAAGAATGCAGATGAGTTGATATAGGAAATTATAGTGTTGGCTTAATCCCAGTATAACTGAAATTTTCCTACCCTTCTCGTTTGATATTTTCCCTTCTGGACATAGATGGCAATCATAGCAACAAAACAACTTTCCTTCTTTCTTGGCCTTGCTGTGTCCTGTCTCGCAAGGATCATTACATAAAGATAAAGGTAATGCCTATCAATGAATGAAGAAGAATATATTAAGATACAAAGAGGAAAGGAAGTGCTTTGAGTGTTTCTGTGGAATCAGCAGATTAAAAATGAAGTAGCAGGATGACATAATTTTAGATGTAATTGCTCTGAAATTATAACTAATTAAATTTCTACAATAATTGTATCAATAGCCTTTGTTAACCATCATCACTCTTCATAGATAATTTCTGTGCTAGTTAGTTAAGGTTGGTTTTTTTAATTTCTGAATTTTGATGTCAGCAAACTGAAGAGATTTATTGTGCTGGCTTGCAGCTTTTACTTAAAAGCTGTTAAAACCATTGCCCATAATTAACAGGGATCCAGGAAAGTATATTTCCTAATATTCAATAGTAATTGCTAGAAAATTAAAAAAATAACCCAAACTTACTGATAGCATTCCTTTTCCAGGAAATTTAGATATTTTAGATATTTAAATATTTAGATTAGTCAGAGATGATACTGTGAGACTTTCATCAATAAAGATATTTAAATGAAGGCAGATAAATCTGGATTCAAAAAGCTAACCTGGTTAAAGCCTTCTGGCCAGGTGATGGAATCTACAGAAATATTGAAGAAGTTCTGTGCTGGAGCTGTGGGATCTATCACTCCAACTTTGACCCTAAGAAAGGACTGGTTTGGGAATGTGATCCAGTTGATAATATCAAATCCACCAATGAATTCTCCATTTTTATCAAAGGAGATCTTTTCACCAACACTGTTGTTGAATCTGACATTTCTCAGAAAAGAATGAACCTGAAACACAAAAGCAATCAGAGAGGAACAAACCAAGGAAGGAAAAGTAATTCATATATTCAAAACATACATATGAATGTTTCTTTAAAGTTGTAATCCCTTAAACAAATAAATAACAATCATTCTAAAACAGAGATAGAGATATCAGATTTCTGAAATAAAATTAACATAGAATTGCAAAATATACAACCATGAAAAAATAAAATTAAGCTCTAGTTCATTTGCAAAAGCTACTTAAGCCAGATCACTTCTAATAAATATATAATAAATACTATAATGTATAAAATAACCATATCATTGAACTCATTTTATACACTAGCAAGGTTATATTCAAAATGGTGCAAGTTAGGCTTCAGCAGTATGTAAACTGAGAACTAAGAAGTACAAATATATATATATTTTTTTGAAAAGGCAAAGGAACTGGAGATCAAATTTCCTTCATTTGCTTGAATAAGAGACAGTAGGGTAGTTCCAGAAAACCATCTATTTTGCTTCATTGACCATGCTAAACCCTTTGATTATGTAGATCACAACAATCTGTGGCAAGTTCTTAAAGTGTTGGGAGTACCAGATGACCATAACTGTCACCTGAGAAGGCTAATGTCAGCTCTTCCTGATTCAGCTTGGCACCTCACCTGCTTCCTGCCATTAAAGGCCAGAAGTGAGGGGGTAAAGGATTAAAGGGCAATAAAGCTGTGTTTATATATGATGGGAAATCAGGAGAGTGGAATGATAGGTGATAAAGACCAGAGCAGCCAGATATTGTTTTTACTATTATCCCAAGGTCAAGCACCCAGAGAATAATAATAATAATAATAATAATAATAATAATAATAATAATAATAATAATAATAATAATTTTATTTATATACTGCCCTCCTCCTGAAGGACTCGGGGCGGTGTACAGCCAAAATTAAAACATAAATATACAATATCATAGTTAAAATTAATTTTAACTAATTTAGGGTTAATTTAGTTAATTTAGGGTTTTGAGGGCACAGCGAAAGACCCGGAGATCAGAGATGTTACGAATGTCTAGGGGCAATTCATTCCAAAGGGCAGGGGCTCCGACAGAGAAGGCTCTTTTCCTGGGTGTCACCAGCCAGCGTAACTTGGCCGACGGCACCCTGAGGAGTCCCTCTCTGTGGGAGTGAACTGGTTGGTAGGAGGCAGTTTGTGGCAGAAGGTGGTCCCGTAGATATCCTGGTCCTATGCCATGGAGCACTTTAAAGGTGGTAACCTTGAATTGCACTCGGAAGACCACTGGGAGCCAGTGCAGCTCACGCAGGAGAGGTGTTACATGGGCGTAACAAGGTGCCCCCATCACCATCTGCGCGGCCGCATTCTGGAGCAGTTGGAGCCTCCAAGTGCTCTTCAACCAGAACCAAGGAGCCGGTTGAGGTCGGCATCGGGTCAGAGGCCGCAAAGGCACTACACGGTCCAAAGCCCCTGCGGCCGCACTATCCCAGGCGGCCACCAGGTCTTCAGTCGAGTCGTGTGCCAGAGTCTCCGGAAAGGGCCCAAGCTCCATCTGGAACCTTTCGGGATCCATCAGGCACCTGGGACCGAACCATCTAGTCGGTTCCATCTCCCTGCGGCAGGGTGAAGCGGCTTGAAAGTCTAAGTGAAGGAGCGAATGATCTGTCCATGACAAGGGTTTAATGTCTATGTCCCCTCTACCAAGATCATTCAGCCACTGACCAGAGATGAAAATCAAGTCCAGAGTGTGTACCCCTGTGTGAGTGGGGCCTTGCACTAATTGGGTCAGGTCCATGGCCGTCATGGAAGCCATGAACTCCTGAGCCACCTCTGATGTCTCACCAATGGGTGGCAGGTTGAAGTCCCCCAGAACAATAAATCTGGGGGTATCAACCGCCAACCCGGCTATCACGTCGAGTAGCTCAGGCAGGGTCACTGCCACATGACAGGGAGCCAGGTACATAGTCAGCAAACCCATCTGCACCCCAAAGACCCCACTTCACAAGAAGGGACTCACATCCGGCTATCTGAGGAACAGTGGCCTCCCTCGGACAAAGACTTTCTCTAATAATTGCCACTACCCCCCCACCCTCCCCTGAGCCCTTGGCTGATGAAATGCATGGAAGCCTGGAGGGCACATTTCAACGAGGGAAACCTCCCCCCCTCCTGGCCCAACCAGGTCTCCATAATCACAGCCAGGTCTGCACCGCCCCCCCTCCATAATAAGATCACAAATGAGGGGGGGTTTATTAATTACCGACGTGGCATTACATAACATCAGTCGAAGACCCAGGGGCTGAGACTCTGTGCAATCCAGGACACGAGCCACGCTATGGGGGCCGGAGTGCGCAATCACTCGAAGACAGTGCATGTGCACCCCCAGAACCTGATATGGCCCCCCTGTATCCGCCATACCTGCCCCTCCCACTTATCACATTAATGGAACTGTCCTTCTTTTCACCAGCCAGCACCCCGGTCAGATTACCCTTCTCGCCTCCTCCACTGTGCCTAACCAACCCAACACCCCGCACAGTGGCTATATGGACCCCCCATCCATCTCTACAGCCCCCTCCCCCTTCTCAGGTCCCCTTAAAAACCCCTCCCTCCTCCCAGACCCTCTTTTAAATACGAGATGAAAAATTAACTAAAAAACCCCACAACCTCCTCCTCGCTGCATGCCACCTCTCTGGGTTCCAAAACCATTCATTGAGGTAGGCCCTTGATATCATAGAGGGCCAAATTTGCGAGAGGAATCTCGCAGACCAAGGAGTTCAGTCCTAGAATACATCTGGGGGACTGTAATGATGATAGATAGGCTGACATAGTCCGGGAACCTCAAAAGAGGAAACTTCATCAGCTGATGACAAAGTCCAGGGAGAAACGTAGCAAGCGATGAAACAAAAGCCCTCCCCATTGTCCTCTCACTGCAATGTGGGGGAATCCGAAGGTCAAAGACCACATGGACCACTCTCTCACATCGGCCATTTTGGGAGCACTAAAACCCCAGTCCTGCCGCTGGCAGGCAAGTTCCATCAGTCTGGTACATCATCTCTGGTATCTCCTGAAGGGGGAATCTCAGCATTCTCAAAACATCTGGCTGAGCTGTGGTTGGCTGGAATTGGACTGGTTACAGGGGAATAAGAATGGACTCTGGGTGAACCTTTTTTGTATCTTGCAAATGCTGGAGAATTCAGATCTGGCTTTACATTACTGCAACCAAACCTTTAGCAAAAGAACCCTTTGCTTTTACCAAATGGAGTCAAAGGTGTTCCTTTCCTAAGGGATCAGTTTGGGGCAGACCTGACATCTGCCTGACAGCCAAGAAGCAACAGTTAGAGACAGACATGGAACAATTGATTGCTTCAAAATAGGGTAATAAGTACAACAAGGCGCTATATTGTCACCTTGCTTATTTAAATTATATGCAAAGTACATCTTGTGAAATGCCAGGCTGGATGAATCACAAGCCAGAATTAGGATTGTTGGAAGAAATATCAACAACCTCAGATATGCAACGATACCACTCTAATGGCAGAAAGTGAAAAGGAACTAAAGAGCCACTTCATGAGGTAAAAGAGTAGAGTGCAAAAGTTGGCTGGAAACACAATATAAAAAAAGCTAAATTTATGGCATCACTTCATAGCCAATAGAAGTGGAAGAAATGAAAACAGATTTTATTTTCATGGGCTCCAAGATCACTGCAGATCCCCCCCTTTTTTTAAAAGAAAAAATCCTTTTCAAATTTTCAAATTACTTTTTTCAATTTTTTAATTATTTGTTCCCAATTTTAATCTTTTTTCAACTCTTAAATATTATTTTTAATTTTTAATTATTTCTTTTCAGCTTTTACATCTTTTTCCATTTCTTTTTTCAACTAAACATTTGAAAACATATAGTTTACTTATTTTAATTCTGTAGAAATTTTTAAATTCTTAATGCTCTAAGTGGAAACATAAATAAAAAAATCACAGAAAAAAGAGACAGATGCTTAAGACAGGAAAGATAGTGATCAATTTTTCAAAAGAACAAATGGTCAAGAACTCTTAT